TCTATGATGTAACAGGGTGCACCCACTTAAGCAGGCAGATATTGCATTAAAATCCACTTTCACTGCAATTTTGGATCCAAAGGGGAAAAATAATAGCCATTTTCTAAAGGTCTTCTTTTCTCCTATTTAGGGGTGACTTTTAATTTCAGTCATCTGAGCTGAGTATTTTGAGAAAAGGAGTTAAAAAAAAACACAAAAGGAGAGGAGAAGGAGGGATGCAAAAGTATTTTGAGACAAATGTCCGTTGTGGGCTGTGGTGCAGTTTGTATGCAGAAACACTGGCATCTAGTGGACAGTTCTTCACATGAGAGGTGACAATGTTATCAGGCACAGTGAATATAAAACAGGCAGTGATTAAAGCTAATGATACCTCTATATCTTTCTTAGGTGAAAGATCTTCCCAAGTCTGTTGTAGTTCTTCTCTGTAAAAGCATTTGAAAATCGGCTGTTCTGCCACCTTTCCCATCTCCAGCATACAGCTTGCAGAACACTTCTTTATTTTTCTTTATAGTAAGCCTTCTTGTGGCTTTCCTGTGTCAGTTCTAATGGCCTACTGTTCTACAGATTATCAAAAATCTTCACCCAGTGGGAAAGCTAATGGTTTGCATGCATGTATGGTTTGCATGCATGTACTGAAGTCTATCATTTTCCTCTAGATTTTAGACATGGGCAAAAATAAACCCCTGACTGCTCCCAGAATGTGATTATTTTGTTCAACCTCAGATGTTTGTGAGCAGAGCGTGGCTTTAAAGGAAATATCTGTATAGAGGAAGAGAACAAAATCAAAGTGGAGCAGCCATGCTGAAGTACTTTGGAAAAAGCTTAATTACATCATTTCTGTAGATAGAACTAAATATAATGTTTCTGCAGTGTTAACCTTTTATGCTAAAAGAAGTATGAGTTTTTTCAGGGTCTGAAAAGCCTGAAATACTCATATTCTTGCCTTCTCTCTCTTTAGACTGCAGTGTTTGCCAGTGCTGAGCAAACCTCCAATACTCTGCTGTACTCTGCTGGCCCTCCTCTTCTTTGGCACTCTCTCAGCTGGGTTGAAGGGTGCTTCTCTGTTTTACTTGCAGGGCACAAATAAGTTTGTATGAATGGAAGACTTGGCTTCTTGAATCAGTTTGCATTAGGATTAGCTTAGTGTTACTGAGGTAGACCTAGCAGCTCCCACTTAACCCCACTAATTATCTAACCTGTGACTGGATATAACTAATAGGAGTTCTGTTATTTCAGAGATGTACTTAACTTTCAGTGGGGGGAAATTGGCACAACTGTGATTGCTGTGATTTTTTTCATTAAGCAAGAGAAAACAGAGCCAAGGTTTCATCCAGTGACATTAAGAGTATTATGAATGGAGACAATAGCAACCTCATTATACTTTTTCACACTCCCAGATTTAATCTATGATTCTATCTTGACTGCTGGGGAAAGTAAGCCTTTGATGATTTGAGATTTAAATTATTTCCATGGAGTCATCCAAGGGAGTCATCTTACTGGAAGGAAAGTATACTAGCACTGTTGTGCTATTTGAGCCTAATAAATGCTCTGATGATGCAGTAATGTTATCTTCATCAGATTACTTTTAATTTAGCCACCCGTCAGTAGGGTCGCAGTGTGACTGCAGTGAAACTAAGCTATTAGCTGAGTCTGTCCATAACTAATTCTATTGCTGGTACAAATCATAACTATTAGGTAAGAGCAATTGAGACTTTTCTCATGGTGTTCAGCAGATATCATCTGTTTACCATCTAATTGTACAAGATATTCTGTACCAAGGCGTAAGTTAGAAAGGCACACGGGCAGAAGAGGGATGGCTGGAAACATGTGGCTGATCTGAGAATGAAAAGGAGTGGGAAAAGATTTGCTGTGAAACCACAAAGTGATTAGACTGCCCCTTCCCTCCCACCTGCTGAACGTAGAAAGTCCTCACTTTGAAATGCTTGCAATACAAAAAGAAATCACTTTGAAATCCTGAGCCTCACTTCCAGTAATCTTTTTTAGCATATATTGTAAAAGTATAACACAATTGTCTGAAGATGGATTTGAATTAAGCATTTATTATGAAACAATACATGAAATACTCATCAAGTGATTGAACGTAGATCAGTGTTGCATAAATGTTGTGTCTTCATATAATGTTATTTAAGCTAGAAAAGTATAATTAACATTTCCTCCAAAGTCCATTTAAGTTCCATTTACTTCAGACAGTCTAAAGCTGTCCTCTTAGCATCCTCTAGACTCATTAGTGATTTACTCTTGCCTGTAGCTCAGAACTTGGAGGAAAGCCTTTATTTATTTATTCATGCATGCAATCATTATTTCCTTTACAGGTGGAAAATGTATATTGGTCTATAATATGGCTAGCTACCTATGTTTGGAAGTTTTGCCATAGCACAAGGATTATAATTATTGCAAAGAGATTCAGCTCTGCAATGAGCGCATAGCCAATGCAGTAATAATCTTGTCCTTAGCACAGTCACAGTGTGTATCTTCTTCCACACCCATGAAGAGATCTACAGAAAAAAAAAAGGAAAATATACTTAAAACACATGGAGAAATTGGCCATACTAATAACATACAAAAGGCTTCAAATCTTTTAAGCACTCTTCTAACATTAATTCTTCACCTCACTGTGAGCAGGATAGAAGTGAGCCAGCTTTCAGCTGTGTCTCAGCTGGACAGGCTTTTTGAAATCTGCCCACTTACCTCCCAGGGCTCAGGTCTGGGAATCCTGTGGTTTTGTTTTTAAATAAGTTGCAGACCTTTGGCTTACTGTGGATTACCATAGCTCCATTGAAGTCTGCCCCAATATCCAGGTTTTCAAAGGCATTTAGATGCATACAGGTACAGATAGATGCCTAGCATAATTTTAAGCAGATGAACTTTCTAACTTTCAAATCACATCAGCCCTGACAGATATCATCTTCATATTTTAGTGCTTAAATGCTTTTGAAAGTATGCTCCTGAATCTGCAGTTTTTATGTTAAGAAGTTGACTGCGAGTGATACAGCATTGCCATTATGGTGAGAATTCAAGCTTATCCCGGCTGACAAATCTCATGTCTGTTTAAAGAATGTAAGCTGGAAGGCTTATCCTGTTATAAAGATATACAAATGTAGGTATGTCTTTTCTTTCAGTATCACAAACAGCCATTAAGAATTAGAAAAGTTTAGGGTTAATCCTTATATTTTACAAGTTTATATCTGCCTTCCCCCAAAACATCACAGTTTCTGAAGTTTGTATAACTTCAGATAAAACACAGAAGGAAAAAGAAAAGGATGACTGTATCACAAACCCAGTGTTCTATTGGGATGTGGCATATTGTTACCAATTGGTTTATGAGTAATGCCTAGTTTCTGGGCTGTGCTTTAGACTTTATTTTCCCATTGAACATTATGATGTATATGATAAGCAGAGGCAAGAAAGAAAATATTCTATTACACTGATGTTGAAAATCATAAACAGAACTAATAACCCATGAAAATGCTCTGTGTTAATGCTTACCAGCACGTGTACTAAACAGAAAGTTCCATTAAAAAAATCAGCACTTAGCAAATTGTTGCAGCTGAGATACTGCAGAACAGACTCCACTCCTAGCAGGTCAGACTGGATCTCAAATACCTCAGGGTGAAGCCTGAGGCTCATCCTGCCACATCCCTTACTGAAAGTTAAGTGAACAAATATAAGACTTTAAAAAGACGCACTGGAAACAGAGCACAAGCAGACAGGAAAGAAACAGGAGCAATATCAAGCAAAGTTGATAAGCATGTTATCCAGTTACCAACTTATATCCATACAGCAGAGAAATGTATAATCAAATGGTTTATTAACTTGAACAGAACTACAGTGACACAGTTGGTGCCATTGTCCTGTTCCACTGCCAGACACGTTTCAGTATAAGGTGCCTCTCAAGCACTAGTTTTTCTCTCCTCTTCTGGTTTGCGGCTCTACTTTTTATTTTAAAAAAGGAAATATGCACTGTAAAAGAAATAGATATATACCAATCACAGGGTAGGCAAGACCATTAGATTGGATGGACTAAATCGCGGTTGCAGTGTGGCAAGCAGTGTGGATTCAACCAGTGTTCCAGGAACTGCTCTTCCGATCTCTGCTCCAAGCGCTGGAGGTAAAGCATGTGCTCCTACTTAAAGACAAGATGTCATTTAATTATGTAACCACTCAGACCTGATGTCAGGCCAATGAACCAGGTCAATTTTACGGCTTATACAAGGACAATTAACTTACCTCTGAAAATTATCAAATGTAATAAAATGGGATTTCTCCTCAGTTCGCTGTAACATAGCAACGCATAATGATTGCTATCAGCCAGACTAGTAAAGGTGTTGGGCAAGAATTTTGTAAAAATATGCATAAATTAAGAATTCTGCATACATGTATTTTATTGGCATATCCACACAGAAGCCTCTGTTGGTCCTTGGGTTACAAAAGGAATCTCACAGACAGGTTTGTTGTAGCCTCTTTTGATAATCGATTCCTGCATTAAACTTTGATCAGATGTGTGGCAGTACTCCGATGGGTTCCAGTAAACACTTTGCATTACTGCTGACTGATGTTGTGTAAAATATAAATTGTATGAATTAGAAGGTTTTGGTGTATGCAACAAGTTGTCAAACTAAGTGAGTCATGTGCCAAAAACTTGACCTCCATCAGGAAGAAAATTTGCTTTTAAAAAGTTATGATGCTAATGCATGTGGACTTACAAGCCTAGTGAGAGAGAGAGATTTTTTCAGAAATATAGCCCATTGCTCAGCACACTGGGTAATGCAGCAACTGAAGCTGTAGCATACATAAACCCTTTGCACAAGCCAAGTATTCCTGCTGTTATCCAGCTCTCTGCTTTCTGAGCTGCCCAGAGGGCTGGTGCAGGATGGCAGCAGGAAGCAGGAGCATCCTGCCCCTCACTGTGCTCTGTGCTCCTCACAGTGCAAAGTGCCTTGGCTCCAGTCCCTCAGTGGGGCTGCGTAATGGACTTGCAGAGAACAGGACTATATGACTGAAAAGATTCTACATGATAAAAAGCAGGGCCTTGGTTAAAGTAAGATTAAAATATGTTGATAACATAAACGACATTTTAAAATAATCAGAGATGGCAGATCTTGCTGTCTGTAACTGAATGGGCTTTTTTTAGTGAAACAGCACTGTGGAAGTCAAACTGTGTCACAAAGAATTGCAAATTAAATTCCTCAACTCAGCATGAGCTGGCCTCGACAAACAGCTTTTGCTTAAAAAAGCTGAACAGAGGCAGGTTCATCTCAGCATTAATTTCATTCCGCTACAAAGAATCCATACAAAATCAATTTTTCTCTTTGAGTCTGTGGTAGAATTGTGCACAGGGATACAGCAGCCATGCCCCTTCATTCACAACTGAAAATCTCCATGTTCCGCTTGGGAGGAGGGATGGATTTTTTTATTGAAGGATATTTTCTTTTCTACTGAAAACCCTGACTTTCAGTGAGAAAAGCAAATACTCATGTTTGGGTTTTCTTACAGAGAAGCATTTGCAGAGTGGCCAGGGCAGAGCAGCAGAGATCAGTAATCAAATGCTTCTCTAGCCCTAGCTCATTTAACTTCTGGTAACACAGAGTTTAACTTGATCTCTCTCTACTGTTTGATTTTATATTTAAGATATTTACTATATAACGTATGTATAATCATGGTGCTGTATTGAGCATTAGCATGGTTGGGATGTATTCCCACCAGTTGTCAACAGCTACAAAGCATATTGAACAACAGCATGGAAACCAACCCAACTCTGAAGCACAGACTATTGCTTTCTTGGTGCTGTCATACAGTCTTAATTGTTCAAGATTGTTAACAAGCATGGTGTAGTATTTTTGTGACAGCTTTGGTTTGTTGTGGCTATCACAGTTGACAGATAAGTGTGTATGTCGGAAGTGGTGTATGGTCAGGACTGCCAGGTGGATTCTTTTTGGCTGGTATACAATAACCATTGGAAAGAGAAAACCACTAGCTGTCTCCACAAACCTGGCACGCATTGAGCTCAGCCTTACAAAGTAGGGAGTGCTCTTTGTGCCCTATGGAGTTCAGAAGCGTTCAGCACCTTGCTAAACTGAGCCCTGAGCCCCTGTACTCCTCATACGTGCACAATCTATTGTGTCCTTTCTGGATTCTGTGGCTTTTGCCTCTTCAGAGCCATATAATTTTAGCTTGGTTTATTTACCTTGGAACAAAATAGGTACTAATTTTAAAATACCTTAAGTAATACTCAAGAAGTGCAGAATTATATGTTAGATCTTCTTGAAGCATGTAAAACAGAAGGTTCCTAAATTCTTTCATGTTCCTTTTGTTGTAATTTGGGTTAGAGATCAATAAATGTAAATTTATTTAAAAAGAATTTTAAAAGAATGCTGCTGCATTAAGCTAGCAGCTAAAAATCTCCACAATGTCATATACTGCTGTAGCAGTCATAAAAAAGCAAATGAAAGTAAGTGACTTAAAAGCTGGTGTAGAGCTACCTCAACCTCCACACTGACCACTGACACCTGCACCTCCTTTCTGCCTTGAGTGCAGAATGTACTGTAAGCAGAAGATATTTCCTGTTATTTCGTTTCTCAGAAACAACCAGATGAACTCCACATTTCTATAAATGAAAAGCCACTTTCTTCTCAATAATCTAACTGGCATTTTTTGAACTGTGATACATAATTTCTGCGCCATACATGTCCTGAGCAATGTTCAGCACTTACAGAATGCTACCTGACACTAACTGAAAGAATGCAACGGAGTTTTTTAATATTTCACAGAAGAACTCAGCTTTTTAAGTAGGTGATATTCATAACTTACTCTCTGGAATTTTACCTATACAAATCTATATTCC